TACACATGCATGTATATATTTAAGAAAAATGTGTTACGTTTATATATTAAAAATATGTATATATAATATAAATTATATGACAATAAATATATACATGTAAATATTTTCAAAATATATGCTGTATATGTGTGTGTATTTATAGATACATAATAAATATACACAATGACAGCACTAACAAAAACATTAACATACATATGGATAGGAAAAAGGTACAAAAGCTATCACTGGGAAGGTACCTATTCAAAAGTTAAATCTTTGTACCTAAAGGCTCCATACTGCTACCTTAAAGGTACGTATCAGTACCTAAAGTGACTTTTTGAGTAGGTACTGCCCCAGTGACAGCTTTTGTACCTTTTTTCACTGTAGGTGAACATGGTTTATGAGGGCACGTCTTCCTGTGTCCTTGTAAACCAAATGTCTTTAAAAACATACTAAATGGTATGATTATTCATATCACCTAAATTTTGCTCTAACATGACAACCACACTTGAAGTAAACTAGCTCAAGGCACTCGGTTTCCAGCCCGCTTTCCAAACAAGAGTGAGAAAAGAGCATTGTGTGCTGGACTACAGTCTAGCTCACTCAGAGTCGCTCCTCTCTTCTCTTCCTCCCCGCTGCCGCGCACAGTCACACGACTGTCAGTACAGGAGAGCAGATCGATAACAGAGTGTCTCTCACCGTGTGAATGCACCCGCGGGAGCTCTCCATCCTGAGTCTCCCTATCTCTCTCTTTCCTGGGCCAAAAAACAAATGGATCATTTGATGGTCTCCTCCATAAGCTGCCAGCGAGAGGTAATGACAGAGCCATTGGCACCTGCCGGTGACCTACAGAGCAGCGTCCCAGTGGGGCTCAATCATTAGCGGCTTCTCACCCGAGGACATGCTGGAACGCCAAACCGCCACACCACGGGTTTGCCAGTTTATATAATTAGCCAGAAAAGAGTGCGAGAATAGACAGATGCTGAGCCAGACCGACTGATGGAGAGAAAATAGCAGAAAATAGCAGACACACGGTGTCAATGAAAGCAGGGTGAGATGGAGGATAAATGGATGATGACAAAGCTCTTACTGAGTTCACTTTGCTGTTCTGTCAAATTAGGGTCCAGTCGCAGGTTTATTGAAAACATTTACTGGCAATGAATATTTCTGACCTCACCATGAAATGTTTTGCATTATTTTGATTAAAGAATATATTGCTGTTCCAATCATAATGACAATTTGTAACATTTCTTCACTACTATTCACAAGTTTGGGGTCGCTACAAAATATTTCTTTATTTTCATTAAATAATCCTGGGAAAAAAATAATCATGGTTTCAAAAATATTAAGCAGCACAACTGTAATTAAGATAGATAATAGTAAGAAATGTTTCGATTTGTAGAGGAACAAATAATAAAATAAAATAAAATAAAAAAATGAAATAATTTCAAATTGGGTGATAGAAAAGACATATTATGGTTATATAGAAGAGGGGGGAAACTAAACTAAACTCAACTTGGAAACTTCAAATGGAAAATGGAAATGCTCCTCTGATGAATCAATCATCAACACAAACAAACATCAAGACTTTTGTACTAATATTGTCATATCTGTCGGTTAATGCAAAAAATATCCCATACTTGTGTCACTACATTGAGCTTTAAATAAACTTCTGATGATATTTTATTTTATACCCATTTAATGACTGGCTAATGTCAGTTTGTCAAATTATATATGCATTATCTCTGTCTTACATTACCACAAATGCCTTGGATTTATTCAACAGGTGAATAAAACACCCTTTGTAACAACACAAGGTCTCTCCATCATGATATGAGCCTGCGGCGTGAAGCAGAAAGAATAGGACAGTCCACTTCCTGCATAATTAAAGTCTGGCCAGACCACTTTTCACCGGGAACATAATCCAGTTGACACTCAACTCATCCGAGTCCAGTCTGAGGGCCTGAACTGGGACAGGGCCAGGGTCTGCATCTGGTTCTTATCGTCCAGAGCCTGACCCAAGAAGACAACAGCAACAAAGCAACCAGAAAAGCAGCCTGTGCCCAGTGAGTGGCATCTACCTGCCATCAATCAAGCCTCTGCCAGTGTGTCACATAACATAATGGACAGCAGGAGCGCAAGAGGCTGGACTAAACACAACCGGCTTTGTAAGCAGATAGATCAGAAATGAATCTCAGTTTATTGATGCTATTTTTTGGTTCATTAATTTATTCAAAAATACATAAACAATACATACGATGCCTTTTATACACATCTTCTATGATGAGCATATTTTTTTTTCAGTTTAATATTAATTTGCAGATAAATTATTTAATTATTATTTATACAAAACTATTTAAAAGAAGGCTCATAAAATGTCAAATAATTTGACAATTTTATAAGGTAAAATTAGTTTAGGCCACAAAATGTCATGTGGTGCAACTTAATTATATATTTAAATTAAACATTTTAGTTTTAGTAAACATTTCCACAAAAAAA